GGAAACAATCTGTCTGAAAATATAGAAGAAAAAATATCTTCTGCTGATTAGGACTAACTGTTCTAGGGATGAAACTGACTATCAAAACATACTCTCCTGTCTGTATCCTACTCAAAAGATCTGAATACCTGGTTTTATATCAGGTCTGCATATAAAGTGATTGAATTCTGCAGTTCATGGTAACCATCAGCATTCATCATCATGTAGCAGGAAAACAGTGATTTTCCTTGCATATTGTGCTCTGCAACATATGGGAACCTTGTGCTATTAATCCTCCTCTGCTTGACCTCCACTCATTTATTCTTGATTGATGGATTTTTTTCATATCAGCCAGTGAACATGAATAAAGTTGACCTGCAGCTACTTTGTGTAGGAACACAGAAGCAGGTTCACAAGCAACAGGAAGCAATGAGCCATTTTTTTTCCTATTTGAAACAAAATTATTTATACCAGCTTTCATAGTCTGCTCCTTTGAGATTCCAGTCATCAGTCAAATTCTTTAGTAAAAATGTATGACAATAAGGTAAAAATTTGCTGAAAGAAAAGCCAGCTGAAGGAAGAGGAAGACAAGTGAAACACAAAGGGAAAATCATCATTGCTGGAATTAAAGGGTCAGATACTGGTCATGGAAAAGAACTGAGATATATGATACATATGAAATTTCATTCATATGTTTGAGTCATATGAAGTTTGGGCTTGGGCCCAAAGCTATGTGGGTTGGTTTTTTTCGTGTTACAGCAAAAAAACCATGGAAGCCACATGATTTCATATGACACTTCAAGAGCATAAAGCAAAGCTACAAAACACTGCAGTATAATATTGAGCCACATATCCGTTATTAAAAACAAAATAATCAGATGCAGCCTTCTGTGAGACTGATTGTTAATTAAAAAAAAAAGGAAAACATCAAGCCAGCCAAGCAATATCCCGTATACACATAGGCAGTGTAGAAAGACCTAAGTTTGTGACAAGTTTCAGTCTTCTACTTCAAGCAAAGCATCCTGTGTTGCATTATCAGTATTCTATCACAGGTTACTCCAGTACTATTAAAAGTGCTGCAACCTCCTGCAGGGATCCCTGGAAAACAATATGTGCATCTCCGGAGGTGAGCTCAGTGCCTAACATTTTAATTAAGTGCAACAGCTTCCACAGCAAGGTAAAGTTGCTTGCTGAGGGCCAAGTGCAACAGCTTCCACTATTCAACATTTACTGTGGGGAAGAAGAAAAAAAAAAAAAAAAAGTAGATTTCAACATAAGAAAATCTCATTACTTAATTTTTGCATGTATATTGCCCTCTTAGGCCTATAAGTCTTGAAGAGGTTCAAGTATTAAAAATTAAGCCTTGCAACCAATACCCTAAAAGAAAGTTATACATCCAATCTATAGCACAGCAAGGTAAAGTTGCTTGCTGAGGGCCATCGATCAAACTGCAATTTGTTTTTCCATTGCTCACTTTGAACTACTGAGCAGCGAACCATAAGAGGACAGATGAATCACTGACCATTATTTAATATTTTATTCATTTATAGTGCAGCTGTTATTTACAGTATACTTTATTTAAATGCCTCAACTCTACACTTATTTCTACTCCCAAAGCTTTATAACAGCTTAATCTCTCTGTTTGATACAGTTATTTTTAACCTAAGAAGGTTTTCATCCTGTTACATGTTTTACTCTGTCAGTTCTTCCATCTCAGTGTCATAATCATGCTTTGGAGCAGGCTACTCTCACAGTAAAATGGTGTAGACAGTACTGAAATAAAGTAAAACCCAAATTCATCTCATTGTCATAATCTCAATAAGTCAACACATTTAAGAAGCCGTATCTTTTTGCATTGGTATTTCAGTGAGAAGATGGAGGCAATCAGAAAAACTGTCATGAAGAGTCTTCAAATGCAAGAACCAAATGCAGAGCCAAATAGAAATTTCTTTTACATACTGCTATTATCATTAAGTAGAGCTTCTGTGGTTTGCCTGCTGGTTTGGAAATACCTCCTCTTGTATCAGAACGGATTCCTCTGTAAGCCAGACTGTATGCTACCGATCACTTTTATTTATTTAGAAAATTGCAAATTAATTTTCCTACTTGGAAAGTTTTATTGTTCAGACAGAAGAAAGGAGGAAAAAAAGCTGACTTAAGTGACTCATTATGTACTCCCACAAGTAGTGCCTGCTGCAAGTGAACTGCTTGTAGAAATAGTATAAACTGAAGTTCACCATGCAAGCCTTTCGGCAAATTCTTATAAATTAATTTGAAGAAAAGAGAATTCATTCTATAAAGTTTCTTAAATGGAAAGTGTACCACATTTATTCACGTCAAGTACTGTGGGTACATTAGTAAAAAGTCTTTCAGAAAACACGCTCAATTTTTTTATATGTACTTCTGAGTATTTTCCAAGAGATGGAAATTCAGCTTTTAGATCCCAGACTGTGAACCTGGTGAGCATTGCTATGTCTTAAAGCACCATTTTGCTCTGGTAAAATAGTCCCTAGAATGTGCCAGCAGGTGGAAGTTTTTATTTCTTGATGCTAGACTATCCTGCTACAGCATGAATGACATTATCCTTCTATTTGAAAGAGGTACAGGATAAAATCCCCAAGAATCAACAGCAACCACCACTAAACTGAAAGGTCTGCAATGTCTTTGGATCAGGTATTGAGGCAGACATGGAGCACACTAGCTAGTAATTACACAGCATTTTCTGCAGCCAACAACGAAACGGCAAATTAAGTTAATTCCATTATAATCACCTCTAACTGTAAGCCCAATGGTTGTAAATGCTGCATCATTTTTCACTTACAACAGCACTGATGCATTTAGATCCCCTACTGTAATACAATAGTAAAAATACTTCAGGGAAAAAAAAAATAAATCGTTGGTATAGCAACCTAAGCACTTAGGCAGAAGCATTCACTCTCTAAATCCCTGCTAAACAATTGAATGGAAAACCATCAATAGAAAACTTCCTTCTCTTCTGTTGTGCTATGTAGAGTAGGACACAGGACGTGTAAGGCGGTCCTATGCATTTCCAAAACACTAGACAGAGAAATATCCCAAACTTAAATTGTGAACAGAAAAAAACAGGATAAGGAACAGTCTGTTACACTATAAAAAGTGGGATTTCCAGTGAGAAATACTATTCATCAGACTTGTGCATCGTTAACCTTACTACTGAGGAGAAAACTGGTAGAAATGAGCCTCATGCAATTACACAAACTTCTCTCCAATACTCTCATAGAAGAGGTTTACTGGGTTTATTGTGGTAAGGTTTTGATAGGAGGGGCTACAGAGGTGGCTTCTGTGAGAAGCTGCCAGAAGCTTCTCCCATGTCTGATAGAGCCAATGCCAGCCAGCTCCAAGATGGATGGCTCCAGGCTGAGCCAGTCGGCGATGGTGGTAGCACCTCTAGGATAACATAATAATTAAGAAGGTGGAAAAAAAATCTGTGAGGCAGCAGCAACCTGAGAGAGGAGTGAGATGTGGAAGAAACAACTCTGCAGACACCAAGGTCAGTGCAGAAGGAGGGGCAGGAGGTGCTCCAGGCACCAGAGCAGAGATTCCCCTGCAGCCCCTGGTGCAGCCCCTGGTGAGGCAGTTGTGCCCCTGCAGCCATGGAGGGTAACGGTAGAACAGATCTCCACCTGCACCTCGGGGAGGGCCCCACACTGGAGCAGGGGGATGCACCTAAAGGGTGCTGTGACAGCACTGGAAGCCAGAGCTGGAGCAGGGTCATGGAGGGACCTGCGGACCCCACACTGGAGCAGGTTTGCTGGCAGGACTTGTGACCTCATGGGGTACCCACACTGGAGCAGGTAGCAAAGAACTGCAGCCCGTGGGAAGGACTCACATTGGAGAAGTTCATGGAGGACTGTCTCCTGCGGGAGGGAACCCCACGCTGGAGCAGGGGAAGGGTGTGGGGAGCCCTTGCCCTGAGGAGGAAGGAGCAGCAAAAATGCTTAATGAACTGACCACAACCCCCATTCCTCATCCTCCTGCATCACTGAGGCAGGGAGGATATCAGAAGTCAAGTTAAGCCTGGGAAGAAGGGAGGGGTGGGGGAAAGGTGTTTTAAGATTTGGTTTTATTTCTCATTACCTTACTCTGATTTGATTGGTAATAAATTAAATTAATTTCCTCAAGTCGAGTCTGTTTTACCCATAATGGTAATTGGTGAGTGACCCCTCCCTGTCCTTACCTCGACCCACGAGCCTTTCACTATATTTTCTCTCACCTGTCCAGCTGAGGAGAGGAGTGATAGACAGGCTTTGGTGGGCACCTGGTGTCCAGCCAGGCTCAAGCCACCACAAGAGGCAAGCATGTTACAGCAAGCATGGGGGCATAAAGAAGAGCAAAAAGCAAAGAGTTGCAAACCTGAAAGTACAACTGAACATTAAAAGTCCGTGACACAATAGTTCCAGTGCTAATTCGAGTGCAAGCTTAGACACACAGCACACAACTTTGCTCAAGAAGCTTTTTCACTTCTGCAGTGCATGCAGGCAGGCATATTGCCCATCCTCTCTGCAGGGGTATATAAGCAGCAAGCACCGTCCTTAGATTTCAATTAAAGATGAAGTGCTTACACTTGTTGTTTTCCATGCCAGGAGACCTTCTTTTCTTCTTCACAAGTTCTTCTAAAAAGCACTTATTTTATTTTTCTTTTACACTTATTATAAACCTTCTCAGCTGGTGAGAAGAAGAAACTTCTGGAGTGAAGGAGAAACTTCACTCCTTCCTTGATTGCAGGGAACTCCTGCTTACCACAGCTTTAACTCCCTATGCTCTCCACTGCATAAATACACCCAGCCTTTTCTCTCACCTCTGCACACCTAATTTGTATTTTCCCTTCTTCCTCTAGGCAGTGTAAGTGATAGAGTGAATTTTTTTTATCATTTTTCCCTTTTAAGCAGAGCCAAGTTATTAACACATATTTCACTGCTCAGCTGGACCTCTTAATAAGCCAGTTACTGCTTAACGCCAGGCTAATTGGGAGAGGAGTCAGGATGTCCAGCAGAGAACCAACAGAAGGAAAAAAGAATGAAAGCAAAGCTGAAGGTAGGTGCTATGGTCAGGAAAGCAGATACACCAACAGAGCAGCCTGAAGGAGGAGGGCGAGTGCCTTATCACAAACTGACATAATCACTACAGACCAGTACAAACATCTGTCATTAGCAAGCTTGGTACTATTCATTTACAATTTCATAGTAGAAAAGGATTTTTATTTTTTTAATAAACTCGAAGTTTGGCTGGTTTGTAACTGCAGTTGTTTAACATGCAGTCCAACACCCTTTAACTTAGTATGGCCTTAAATTTTAAATGTCTTGGTTTGCAGCTGCTACCTTTGTTCTGAATAGCACTGCTTTAGCTGAAGTGCTCAAGCTAAAATATTTGTCTTCTGTAGTCTCAGTAGCAGCACAGACACACCTCAGCTTAAGGAGATGAATGCCCTTGCTAGGGAACAATCAAGCTCAAACCGTCAGAGTCTAAGGAAAAAGCACGCAGACAGGGGGTGCGAGGGGAACTGAGACAGCCAAACCAGCAACAAAAACACATCAGGCGTAGGAAATGCATGCAGCCACCAGGATGAGAACAAAGCACAGGAGGGCTAGAGTGGAATCAGTCAGCGACAGGAAATACATACCTAGTATTTCCAACCATTTCTCTAAAATGCCCAAACTTTCAATTGTTCCAAAAAATGACAAGTCTCTCAATGTGACAGTAATATACATAAGAACACTTCACATGGCAGGAATAAGAAATAGGTTGTTAAAGACAGTGCATGCAGACCCACAGTAAGAGTGTACTGTTGTAGTTTCTTAATATATGACAAAGAGACCCTCTAAAGCATTTTGTAGCAATTCACTTAACACCTTTGAGATTTGTGGAAGGGGTCATGAAATGCTGTGCTTTCTCTGGCGTGCAAGCACTAGAATGCCCTCGTTCTGTGGGAAATGCGTCTCATCCAAAATTAAATTAGTGCGATTTTCTTCTAAATTTTGTAATCTTAGATTTCATCTAGTCCAGTATCTTTTCCAACATCTTTCATGTGTTCTCAAAAAAGAACTCCTAAAACCGCTCTGAATATTTCAGATATTTCTCTATATTCCTTGGGTGAATTTTATTAGATGCTGATACTTTGAAAATATTTGATTTATTTAAGTGTGATATAGCTTTCTCTCTTTTTTTTTTTCTCCTAATTCTAGACAGTTCTTAAGCTGTATATTTCTGATGCTAATTGTGTTACTACATGATCTCAGTTTAATTTTTTAATGAAGAAGTACACAAAATGTCATTAATGAGTCCTTTCCTTTGGCATTGTCTGCTATAAGTTTTCCTTCTGGCTCAAAAAATATACTCCCCAAACACAATATTTCTCATTCTCAGACAAACATTAGCAGTTGTAATTTTTGTAATGTATAATATTTAGAAATACTTATGAAGTCAAAAAGAGTTTGAATGACTACAAAACATACATTAGTATTACCTAGTCAATGGAGTGACGAGATAATTAAATCCAATTATACTCTCTTGTATCTATAAGCAAAAAGTAGTAATAGAAAATTTATTATAATTTTTCCTTGATTTCTTTATCCATGGACATATGGAGCCCAGTGTAATATACTTCTTACACAGCTTTAGAGCAATGAAGAAGGCTTAAGCTTACCATGTGTTTGTTGCTCTTTTGTTTTACCAGCTGTTAATCTTGACAGAAAACCATCACCCCCTCTGTTCCAGCTGCTCTCTCCAGTTTGCCTCCATAGCACCTAAGCCATCTCAAACTTTCTCCTCAGAAGAGGTGGAAAGCAACTGTGGAGATCTGAATATGAACTCTGCCTTTTTTTGGTAGAAGCCATCAAAATATTTCTGCTACTTGAAACATAAGTCAAGGGAAGTCATTTGGCTACAAGTGAAGGGCTGAATGAAAGAGGAACAACAAAGCTCATGAAAATGAGAAAAAATGAATACTGTGAACACTACTATTTCCTCAGTATTCCCATCACTAGGAAATTGCCCTCTAACTTGTTTTTAAGTGATGGTGAAAACAAAGAGCTAAAACCAGAGATTTTTCCTTTTGAAGAAAGGACAGAAATATTTTTTTCCCTTCTCTTACTAGTTGCTGTTGACAAGCCACAGCTAGCTAGAAATAATGTTTTCAGAAGCAGCTCTCACTTGTGAATGCATCAATTTTGGGTTGTACCACGTCAGGCTTCTCAAATTCCATTCTACGCCTTACCCCCAAACCAGATATTCCTATTGCTACAGTCAGTTAATCTCTTAAAATCACTGCAATCTCTTGAATGAACTGCTGTATGCTTTAGACATTGAGTCCTGCTCGACTATATTGCTTTATAGGAAGGATCATTCCTTCCCCATCCTAAGGGCAATAGCACTTCCTCTTCCTTCTCTCCTGGCTCACAAGTTTATCTTACACCTCTAGGAGCACTTGAAGGCAACAGAAGTTTTTTTGCTGGTTTCTGCTGACAGAATCAACATGGTAAAAGAAATCTTTGATACCATTAGCAGACATAGAAAAGAGCAATGGAGTCAGGTATTACTTTGCTGTGTTAGGAGTACAGAATACGGAGAAACATTGTGAATTATTTTCATTAGTTTCTGTCTCTCTAATTTGAGCATGTCATCATGGCCCTTGCAAATACGTAAAGAAAAAAATATTTTTATAAGTAATAAATGCATGATTTAGGTGGTGTTACTACATACACTAGTCAAGGGCTAAGCCACTGATAGCATATAGTCTTTCAAGCTTCTTTCTGCACGTTACTAATCACTGTACAATCTCAAAGTTGTGTTAGAAATACCAGTAAATGAATTATCAGTGAAGCATCTGCAAGTAAAGCAAAAGGGGGAAGAAAGGAGACGACGACAGCAATCCTAGCTTATGTTGCAAAACAGAACAGAACAGGATAAATTGCCAAGTAGAAGAAATTTCGACTGAACTTGTGTCCTCACTGCACTGTGCTTTTCTTTCACATGTTTTGTTTTTTTTTTTTTTCCTCAGCACCTTGCAGGGTCAAGCTTATTTCTAGGTGAAGTCAACCACATCACAGCCTGGCTATCATGAGCACTACGACGAAAATGGCAATCAGATCAAAGCACAACAGAGGCATCAGGGAATATGTTTGCAAACACTATTAAAAGTCTGGCAGTTTGGTTGCAGCTATTGCATCTAATTCAGTTTCTCTGCCAGCTAGTTTGATCTGATCTTTCAATACTCACTAGAGAATAAACATTAATGAAGTTGGACCACAGCTAGTTTGATCTGATCTTTCAATACTTGCTAGAGAATAAACATTAATGAAGTTGGACCATCTTAGAACTGGCTGAATGCCTACAAGGGATTACAGAGAGGGTCACTTATACTGGGAGCCACCCAGGAATGAGGCTGTCAATGAAGGTAGTTTTGATAAAGCAAAAACCGGAGCACTAAAGATAGCAGGAAATAAGTTATGAAAATTATATGGGGCAGAAGACAAACTTGGCCAAGACTCAGTTGAAAAACACAATTTACAGGGAATCCAAGAAAAATAAATCTGTTGCTGAGAATGACACATGCACAAGTTGCTATTAGCCTCTGTATTATGTCAAAATAGAAATGAGTGTCCAGGTACATGGCACACAAGACATACTTTTTGTTTTTTTCCTTACTCCCCCACCTCTCCTCAAAACTAGGTACGTGGCACACAAGACATACTTTTTGTTTCTTTCCTTACTCCCCCACCTCTCCTCAAAACACCTGCACATGTATTCATGAATGTTTTGCAAAAGAAAAGCAGACAAGCATCACAAGATACATTATTTTTTCCTAATGATCAAGTTCAAAGGCCTTTCAATATTGCAAAATTAAATATGCACAATAAAAAACTATTACCGTTGATTAAACTGGAAGACAAATGGAATAAATAACATCCATTAAAGGTCCAGCTCATGCTACAGAAAGCTGTTCAGCACATGGGTACTTATGCATGGAAATCCAATTGATACAAGCTATAACCATTCCAAAGAACCTATTATGGCCCATCATGTAAATGGTTACACATAATGACACATTATGGTCTGTAGGGCTTTGGATCAGTGAATTAAAATTTCTCTAAGCAGAACAGATTTTGAGAAAATAGGCTCAAAGGACCTGTTATAATAAACTATGTCAAGACCTATCTTAGTAACTCCCAATTAGATATTGACCCATTAACACAAGTTGGATTGCTAAATTTTGGAAAAAATTAGTTACCTACAGTACAGAAGCCAGCATTAAAAGTCAGTATTCTTGAATATGCACCATATAGCTATCGCTGTCCTTTACAGTTTCAAGTAAGAGAATAAGCTGTTTCAGATAACAGTTGCAGATAACACTTAGAGGGTAGAATTCCTTTTTTAGAATCATAGAATCACAGGATCATTTAGGTTGGAAAAGACCTTCAAGATTACTGAGTCCAACTGCTTACATATAAGCACTAAATTAATTGTGCAATATTAAGAAGCCCATGTGTTCTTTACAGAAATTTCATTTTTATTTAAATTTATCTATAAGTAAAAAAATGCTATATAAATTTTGAATAAATCAGCTAAATGAGAGCAAAAGGTGCCTAATACAAAGTAACTAAACAATAACTGAAATAATACGTCTGATATTGCATTTATAGGAGAGTGACCAGCTTAAGGAAGGGCAAGAAACACATTTGCACTCAGTGGGAAAAGAAGTGAATTATTTCTTAAATGACTAAAAATTAAGATGCTCATACATAAATGTGTGTTATTATGTTTAGCAGAAGTGTTTTCAATACTTTTTTGGAAATGGTGAAACGCTTAGTTGTGCTGCTTTCTTGAGGAAATATTCCATCCTGAATATGCAAGAAAAACATTTTGACATTTACTGTCTTAAATTTTCATTAAAAAGAAAATATTCTAAAAATATTTCCAAAGTTGTCGTAAAGTAAAACATTTAACACCCTCTGAAACAAAATAATGGGTTTCATTTAAATTGCACAAAATGCTTTTGTTCACTCTAGTTATTGTTTCCATTTTGAAAAATAATCAAACAAGAGGAGACCAAATACATTTCACTTTGTATTAAATCAAACTGTATTCTTCTTTCTATTTGTCCAGCAGTAATAATGCCAAATTCATACAGACCTACAATTGAAATGTCTGTTTATTGTTATTGTTGGCAACAGTATTCAACATATAGTGAAATAATTATGAAAAGGAAAGAAAATGGATTCTTGATAGTGATAACCCAATTGTTTAAATAAAATATCCACTCAGAATAAAAGGATGGCTGGTATGCTAAGCAGAACTGCTTATAATTTTGTGTCTTAAATGGTACCCTAATATCAGATATTTTTGTTTGAGTTCTTGAGGTTGTTTTGTTTTTCAATTTTATTTAGGTCAAAAGATGTCAAGATTTAGAACTAGGAATAATGCCTCTGTCATTACACCAGAAAGGAATGTCTCCAGCCATCCTTTCCATGACCTGCTTGCCTGTCCACTGTGTAACCAACTGTTTCTCCAACCATTTATGCTGCCGTGCAATCACTGCATTTGTGAGAGGTGTATAACGAAAAGCAAGACCAAAGCTGAAGTAACTGAAAACTTTTACATCATCGTATGCCCAGTGTGTAGCAAAGCACATTGCCTCCCCTACACAAACAAAATTCAGCTGAGGAACAATTACCTGAGAGCAAAACCAGCCAAGAATTACATGCGCAGACATGGCTTTCTAAGGTGGAGATTTGACCACAGTGAAAGACCAGTCTACTGTGAAGCTTGTACGGACAGAAGAGTGGCAACCAAAAGATGTAGAACATGTGGAATCAATTATTGTAACGAATGTCTGCACTTAAATCATAGCAAGTCTGGTGCTCAAGACCACATTTTCACCAAAGCACATCAAGAAGATCATGAACAGTGGCACTGCTTACTGCACAGAAACACAGACCTCTCTGAATACTGTCTGGATGACCACGAACTCATCTGTGGGTTCTGCAAGAACTCACTGCACAATGACCATGAGACTGTCCCCTTGGCAGCTACGTGTTCAAGAGAGGCTGCTTCCCTCTTTGATACAATTGCAAAATTTAGAAAAGGTTTGTATTTCTGCTGCTTCTCACGCTTCCCCATGCCTCCTCGGAAAAGAAACTTGAACTTACGGTTGACAAGCTATATTAATCCCCCGCACAGCACAAGAGTCAGAAAGGTGTGTTCCCACTGTAGAAACACAAAAAGAACAAGCCCATAATTGTGGCATCATGAGCCAGACTCAACTATTAGAGAATGAAGGATCTGTAGGTGAGTTGGGAACAGAAATGTGCGTCTAGGGAGGGGCATCTTCATTTCATACTGCAGGACCTAGCGTGGAATAAACACCAATGACATCTGCAGAATAGCATAATATTTTTTAATCAGAAATGTATGCTTGAAGGGGAACTGCTTCTTCCCCCACAGGCAAGTTATTAATTGTCCCTCCTCAGTGAGTTTTATGCTCATGCATATGCTAACTAAGAGCCAAAGTGGTCACGTTTTTCTGAGGTAACACAGCAATGTCACTCATTTTAACAAAGACTTGCTCAATAGTAACTAGGGGGCTGAACACAGACTAGGATTTTATTAATTTCTTTTAATTTTTGATCTTTGCATATAACTTCACAAATGTCAGGGACATAACAAAGTTGCATGGAAAGTAACATTCAGAAAGGTAAAAGTGAACCATGCACAGTGAGAAACAGCTGGAATTCTCAATTTTGTTTCAAAATTAAGCACAAAATTCTCAATTTTGAAGCAGACTTAAGTTTGAGAATATAAGTGATGCAGCCAAGATTTTGTAATGTGACATTTTTTCCTGATGTTAGCTGAATGCCACTGGAATTTACTATCAACCTTTGGTATTTTTGATTCTTTTTCTTCACAGGTCACAATTTTTAGTGTTAATCTGGTAATCACACCTTCACATAATGGCCATCAGAGGAATGTACTGTCAGCCATGGACATAATGTGGGCTATGCAGGCGCATTTGCTGCCACTACTGTAACTTCATAATGGCATAGTGAATTTTCAAAGATAATACAGAGCTACAATATACTAAACGTCAGGATTTCCCATATAATGAAGTAAAAATTATCAAGCCCATTTTGGGGGAGATAAGTTTGAGTAAGTGAGGAAATAATAATGAAGTAGCAATTAACTCCAAATTTTATACACCCAAATGTGAACATTTTAACCCAAATAACTTCCCTCATGGCTTACCAGCAGCAGAGATGAGTGAAAAATGCCAGAAAACTTATTCTTGTCCCACATTCTACCAAATCTGAATTTTTTTTAAACTACAATATAGCATTCTGTCTCTTGTAACCACTACAGTTTAATATGAATTTGGAACTACTGACCTGATTTTTTTTTTTTACAGTACGCCAAGGAGTTGATAATGATCTAATGGAAGTTATCCTGTTAAAAAATAATTTCAAGACCTATAAGGACACCAAAAGGAAGGAGATCAGAAATGGATTCTTAAAATTACGTATGGTTCTTCATGAACAAGAAGAGGAGATGGTAGAGTTGCTTGAAAACATTGAACTTAAAAAACAGAAAGAAATTTCAGAATACATAAACTATACATCCTGTCAGCTATCATATATGGATGGACTTATTCAGTACTCCAAAGAGGCTCTTAAGGAGGAAAGCCAGCTTGTGTTTCTGCAATTGGCACACTGCTTAGTGAAAGAAATAGAAAATGCAGTTCCTTCCATTTTCCAACCTAGTCCATGCCTAAGAGATGATCCCTTAAGAAAACTTCAACTCAACTTTGATGAACTTTTCTCCATTTTACAGGGACTTGTCCCATCCCTTAGTGGAATAAAGCAGTCAGAAAGTGAGGCAGAAAATTATCCCTCTTCTCTTAATCCAGACATAATGGTTCCAAGGCGTGTTTCAAGTACTCACAAATCCAAGCAAGCAACATTGTTCCAAAGCTCATCTTTGTTTGATTTAGGTGTGCTGCCTAAAGACGCTGTCAGAAGACCACACTCTACACCTCCCCATCATTCTACACAGAGTAATGAAGCGTGTGCATACCAGGATACGGTCTGTGAAACTCCAAGAAAAGAAAGAAAACATCACATTGTTAAGTTTTCAAGTCCAGAACCTACAGACAATGAATCAGTCCCAGTCCCAGGACCTGTTGTTATATACCAGACAGCTGTTTACTCAAAATGTGCCAAAGTAAGACACTGATAAATTCTGAATATATACAAGACCATTATATTTTCAGACTGTTATAGAGTCTGAACCTATATGAGTTTGAGTAAAGAAGACTACAATATCAGTTCAAATACTTTATGAGACAACACATTTCAAATGCACCTTTTGAGATAAACTGAAGTATAAATTGAATCATATCACATTCCTACTGTAGTCAATAGGGTTGTTATATCAAGGCCAAGTTGAATGAGTCTTTGAGCAACCTGATCTAGTGGAAAGTGTCCCTGCCCATGGCAGGGGCGTTGGAACTAGATGATCTTTAAGTTCCGTTCCAACCCAAACCATTCTATGATTCTATGATTGTTACATATGTGATATAAATATGTTCCATGGAAAGGTCCAATGCAGAAAGAAATGGACGTACCATGTTTGTATTTAAATATCTGTAAGTCAGACAAAAAATTCTATCCTGGTCTTGGCCTTCAATGTGACGACATCATATGTGTGTAGTTTTCCTCATCATACATTTCATAGATGCTAACAAGATCAGGATACCAGTTGCATAAGATCCCAAGTGTATGTTGCAAAGTGCTGACTGCTGTCAGCCTGCATTGCTTTGAGTGTGTTGGAAGAGGGTATAATGAAATTCCCAGGAGAAAGCTTAGCATTTTCCAAGTAAGACCACAAACTGCATATCTTCCACATATATTTCATGCTATGGGTGGAGTTTCAGCTGCATTGGCATTTCAAAATTAAAATCTGACAAACAGGAGCCTTCCAAAAAAGCAAAAATTAAAATGAGCAAAAATAAACCTTACTTAATTGTGTATTACCGATTTTTTTCTCTTCACAGATTTACTGGACTTGTCCCACAGAAGACGTGGCTTTCTTTGAGGTAGAGTTTTATGAAGTTGCTGGCATTGGCCCTGATAACATCGTCCAGACACAACTAGCCAGCCAGCTGAGCAACATACAGCAGCAGAACCTTGAGACAGGTAATCTGGATCCAAACACAGAATATCTTTTTAAAGTCCGTGCTGTCAATGCAAGTGGTCAAGGAGAATGGAGTGAGATCTGTAAGGTATTGTAGATTCTTCCTATACTTCATAGAGTTGCCTTAACTTTCTTGCCTCCACAATTGTTTTTACCCCATGTATTTGTGATGAAGCCTGCTTGCATGGAATATATTGCTATTCACTTATCTAGGTAAGTGATATAAGAGTTACACTGGATTTTTTTCCATACATCATTCTTTGTAGCTCAATTTGCAACTGCTCAACTTATGTAGAATGTTTCTCATTTTTTCTAGCAGGGATGCTCTCTCGTAATTACATCACACAAGTCATTCTAATTCTTATTACTTCAGGAATGAGACTGCCTTTGCACTAACCTCTCTGAACCCACAGAATAAGAGTATGAACAGTCAGATCCAAAAGCTTTCATGCTAGAACAAGGCAACAATCATTAAAAGAGAGGAAACAAACAGAAAATTAAGAGTATTCTTTAACACCCTTGGACATGAGTCTCCTTTACTGTGGTTTTAGAAGAAAAGGAAAAGGTTTTGCAAAGACAAAAGTTAAAGGGAGTAGGAAAGTATTCAAAAAGGTGTCAAAAGTTAAGAAATTTAATGAATTCATTTTTACACCCTTCAGGCATCCCAACTTTCTTGCTGAAGTCACCTTCAGTTCTTCATGCCTTGCTGAAAAGAATACATACTTAATTCCTGTTTTCTACTTGATAAATTTTCAGTAAAGGGTGCATTGAGGAGCTACAGGGCATAAAATGCAGATAGCTTCCATGAAAAGGGTAGGTGCTGTTCTCTGGTTCCAACTGCATTTTACAGCCTTTTCCTGTATCAGCTTTGCACCAAGCGCTGTCCTTTTCCAGGCCTCTTGTCCCTTGTCACTTTTAGAGAGTAAAAGTCTTAACTTTGGAGCAGCATTCAGACATCCCACTCACTTTGTGAGTTTTAATGGCAAACAATGCCTTCCTGGACTGCTCTACTTCCTATACTTAAAACACTGAGCACAGTAGTTTCTTTTTTTTTTTTTTTACCTAACACGTTGGAATGCTATATTGACTTTTCTTCTGAAAACTGCTCTTTCTGCATGCAGCACAGACATATTCCAGAGAAACACAAACTCACTTAACATCTGCTGTAATTTATGAAAGTAAAGAGTTTCATAACAAATGAAAACAACCCAGCATATATGACAGACTTCTATAAATCTTCTTTTAAAAAATAACTACCTCTGCACCTATTGCATAATGTCAGACTATTTTACGATACCAGTTACACTACACATAAAACTTGGAAGTTTGGGTTTTTTTAAAGAAAATATAGCATTGGATTTCAAGTAGCGGATTTAGTCAGAGCACTATCATTCTTCATGTGTAACAGTTACTAAGTCTGTGAGGAAATGTAACCACGATGACTGCGACAGGTGACAGGAGCCCAGGCACGAAGCTATGACGAGGAGGAAGGTGACAGAAAATTCTGTTAGACAGAAGCTATTTCATTCTTTGAACTAAAGCTGATGCCATGCCACTGATACCCTGAAATACCAAGTCCCATAAAAGCGATTATTCAACCATAGGGTGTTATCTAACATTACAAGCAGATTTCCCAAGTCTGCATGCAGCCCTCACAAACAAAACAGAAAACTGTAGTCTCTGCACTTTTGGGAGTGAGGGAACTTCTCTCTTCTTAGCCCTATAGCATGATTGTTGTTAGAGCTGAAACACAACTTCCTCAATTTCAGCCATTTGTCAGTGTGTGAAACACCACGGCAGTACCACTGCATCCTTGTTACATGATCACAGAAGCTGCTAGAGACGGCATGACCTCTGCCCAAGCGTTCTGTGCAGCTGACTCAGTACAGGCTCCTATAGGAAGTGCCCAAAGGTATCTCACGTACCTGCACAGGGCTGACAGGTGACACCAGACCTAGAAGATACACTTCTAGAGCAGCAACTGGGAAGAAGGCAGGCTACCCTTGAACATCTAAACTGGCAAAACATGTTTGTGACTTTGGTAACTGGATCCTAACTTAACAGTCAGCTGAAGGAATTACACTGCACTGCCCTGGGTAAGGGAATGAACAATACAGGGGATATTTTTGAGTATGCATTGAGGTTGTGGAAGGTCCTGGATGAATGACAGAAACTGAAGGCTGCCTTGCAAACCAAACTGCTGTATTACACAAATCTGGCAAACCATGCAAAACTGTGCCACAAGGCAAGTGACGAGGAATCTTCTAAGAATGAAATTCAGCCCTCCATTGAGACTTTCAACAGAGTAGGCAAAAATTTGTTGCCCCAGAGATAAAGGATTTGGCTGCATCTGCCATGGGAGGAGGAATGAGAAGCACTAAGGATGCAGCTAGAAAAGGAGGAAGGGAAAATCCTGGAATCCTGCAATCCTTGCTCTAGTCCTGCCAGTACTGCGACGCTTGGGAGAGGCGCTTCCCCACCCCCTCTTCTCAATGACAGCAGCAGCCTGCAGCTGTTCACAGTGGCGTGCCACAAACTCTGGTAGACTTTGTGTTCTTTAACTTGTCTCTTGAGACTGTCAACCACAGAAACAGTGATAATTCTAATGATTGTTTTGTTGCTTTTTAATTTTTCATCATACTCTTGTCAATTAAACCTCTGGAAGGAGATTTATGAAAATTATTTTGGAGATAGGATGTGGGCTTCTAAATCACATCTGAAGCAAAAAATGACCAGCTGCTAGAACCTAATGGCTATGTATTATATTGGTCACTGTCATGTTTGCCACCAGACAATTGCTTGCATTCAGCATACTTTTTTTTAAATAGCTCAATTTCCATTTTGCCTTGAAAAAAGGTATTAGACTTTACGAAGTTTGACATAGATAAGACAGTTTCACTGCTTTGAAAATACATCTGTAAGTGGTAAGTTATTTTGAAAACAGACACTAATTAAAGCCTAACCCCAAAGTAATAAATAGATGTACTTCTGCACTTTAATACATTCTTGTTTTCTACTTGCAGATAATCACTTCAGATGAATATGGGAATATCAAAGACAGGCGGGAGAAGCAGAAGAGTATTCAGGGTGCTGTGCATGAACCATCTAGATAGACAAAGAATGAAACCAGTGATTCTTTTTTTTTTTTTTCTTGAAGAACTAAAAAAATGTGTATGCTTTCTTCTGAAATATCCCATTTTCCACTGAAGTTAGCCGCCAGAGATCTAACAGTGAGCTCCTCAGACTTACTATTTCTTCCTGGCAAATAACAATAATGAAGAAGCCCTGTTTTTTCATTATCTTTTCTTTTTCTAAATGTAGCATCAAGACCTAAGGAAAATGCTATGACATGCATAAAAGTATAGTATAAAATTCACTATACTTTAGGGACCTTTGCAGCTTCAAAGGAAACAAATGACATACTTGCATTGTAAGTTAACATTCCAATTACTATTCCCTATAAGACTGTTCAATACCAGTTCATAAAGAGCTGAGCTGCAGGAGCCTATATCACAATTTGTATATTTTCAAAGTGCAGAATAAGCTACTCACTTTTGGTCTCAGCCTCACTCCGCTGAAGCACAATGTGCATACACACATAGAAGGACACTAGCAACAGGCAGGACAAGCACAAGGATGAGGGCAGACAAAATTTTATCTCCTTATGCACTTACTTAATAATGGTTACTTAACAGTTGTGAAGGTCACATATGTGAGTTGCAGCCTATCAGTTTGTTAAAAGTAGCTGCAAGTAAAATCAGAAGTCACAGCAGCTCTGATCCACTGAACAGGAGTTACTAGATCCACAGGAAGTTACTGTGTTGAAATAGTCAAGAGTAATAACTAATGTCCTTCTCTGTGCAGGGATGATCTTGCACTGTTCCTTTCTTTCACTTCAGCCATACCAACCAGGTATACATACCTAGCTGTCAATATTTTTTCCACACACACATGTATACATGTTACTTATACCCATCTCTCTCTATATATGCTTGCACATATACACCTGAACATATACGTGTACGTATTTAAACACATTTACATCTCCCTTTGCCCCAGTCCTATCAAGTAGGGCATTTACACGGGAACATAGAGAAGATCAGGAGGGAATAGAAATAGGATCAGGACCCTTACTAGCTCTTTTAAAGTCCTCTGTGCATTTGTACGTTTTTTGTTTCACCTTCAGCACAGAAAAAGAACCCTTTATGAAAAATCATGTGTTATGAATGTTTTTTGTTTTACCTTCAGCACAGAAAAAAAACCCTTTATGAAAAATCATGTGTTATGAATACTGTCCATGAAATCTTGGACCTCGTGCTACCTTCCTTAAGGCAAACAATAAAACTTAGGTATATTGATTATTAATATAGGTTTTTTTGCATTGCACCTTTCATTTCTGAAGCTCTGGTTTAGCTCTGCATCATTGCTGCAAGTTGGTAACATTATACCCACTTTACGGATCACTAATGTAAGAAAAAAAGTCTGAACAAAAAAGTCAACAAAGTCAAAATCTGAACTCTCAGGGCACCTAGTTTTCTATCTTGTGCTAGCCAGTGAGCTATTAGTGATGCTTCAGTTCATATGTATGTTCCTGCCAGGACTCAGTGCAGTCTTTCCTTGACAGTACTTTTCTTCTGATGAAGTCTCTAGACAGGAGTAAAGGCTATTAAAAGAGGATTGCATTTTCAAACCTACTGAACAATTATAGCAGTGTCTGATTTTGAGAAGCTGACTTTGAAACATTTAAAAGGGGCCTGATCATCACACAAGAAAAGCACCTGCAATTTAAAACTTCTGCCAGATTTTTACAGAAATCTAAATATCTGAGCTCTCCAGACACTAAAGCACAACTATTCCTTCAAAACTCAGGGTTTTTTACATCCTTCCCCAGACAGCAACATTTTACACCTATTTCAAGGAGGTTTTGCTGATGGTCTATAGTTCCCCAGAAGCTCACCTATCTGGTATTCCTTTTAGTATATTTCTCTGTGGATGGATAAGACCTCAATTCGGATCAACTGTATAAAATCCCTTTGCACCCCCTGGCTATGCATTGATAAAAGCAGCCTTCTGTACCCAGCAGTTCTTAAGAGTTGCAATTTGCAGTATACATTTCTGTGCAATAGCCAAGCAAAGCTCTGGTTCCCATTTCATGTAAACAGTGACTCAGATCACTTGAATAGGGCAACACTTTATCAGTATCACTAAGAGATCAGAATCAGTCCAACCCTGCAAGCTTTAAGATTTTTATTAATTTTTCTGGGGCTGCTGGAAGCCTATGTTTCTTTTCAAACAAAGTACCTTTCAAACATCTCTATCTCAGCTCGCTTTCCTTTTTTTCTCCAGGATTGCTTCTTTATTTTCATGGGAGAAAAAAAATGGTGTTAAGTTCTTTACATACAGTTCAGTGCCTGCCTATTGTGAGCACAGCCAAATCCCATGGTGACTGGATGTCTACAGCCCAATTTACTACACTCCTCCTTTCAATAAGCAGGCAAGGCAAAGAATGGAACAATTTCGCTTATCTACTGCTTGCTGCTCAGTTGCAGCAATGGGTGGGGAGGCAGCACCATCTCTCACCCTGTGCAGACATTTTTCAGCTGCATGCCCTGAAATTTAAATTTTGAGATGTTTATAAATAAATAAAAACCTGCCTGTATTTAATGCAGTGTGATATCTGCATAATTACTTCTCAAGGTAATGAGTGCAAGGGAAGCCAAAACACAGAAGGCTGAATTCTTTAGAGCAGCCTGTGCCAGCAAATAAACACAGAACTCTTGTAAGTATCAAATTGCAGAGCAGCTTAGAATCAGCATAATTTATTTAGGGAACAAAAAGCATCTATTTGTGCTGGGCAGGTGGCCAAGGTGAACAAATGAAAGCCATCATTTCATTTCATTTTACCGCCATTTATCTCTCAGAATGTCTGTAGCCAACCCTGCTGAAACCAAACATCACAAATGAAAGACATATTATTAGATGAGCCATCATTTCATTTTACCGCCATTTATCTCTCAGAATGTCTGTAGCCAACCCTGCTGAAACCAAACATCACAAAATAAAGGTGGCTGTCAAACTGTCTCCTCCTCAGCCGAGCTGAAGCAAATGATGAGTATTTGAAAGAAAATATTCTGAGAGGGTGGCTACCCACTTTGTTAAATGATGAAATCAAGACTGACATCAGTCTAACATGCAGAGATCTATTCAGTGGTGTCTCCGTCTTCCTGGATGGATCATAAATGAGCTGGCAGGTAGGAGATAGGTCAGAGATGCAGCTGGCTAACCTACATTGACACAAGTCAACTAACCAACCCGCCCTCCATAGCAAACCCCAGAGATTTACAGGCATCAACTACTAAGCCAAGGTATTGCAACATCTTATCATCTGCTTGCTGCTTAACCCATCAGGAAGTGATTAATTTCAATATTATTCAAGGATCTGCAGTGATTTCTTCAATAATATTTCCAAGACATTACAGAACTTTGGAGAACATTGGCCAACCTGTAAGGCATTGTTTCTACACAGGATGAGATCTTTGGGGGCCTAAATGTTTAACTGACACTTCTGATTGAAAATACGTCCAACACGGCTACTGTTTGTAAGGCAACGAGTCTCACATTGCACCTCTGTACAATGCATAAAAGTGACTTGTTAGCTGAACTGAAATTCTGAAGGACACAACTACAGGTAAGTATTATTTTATGTCACAGCATTTTAGGCAAATAAAGCAGAGCAATAAATATGTAAACAAATATAAACACAGCCTGTTACAACTGTTCTGTTTTGGACTGTAAAGCTGTGATTTATGCTGCTGAGAAATACATTGTTAAAGGTAGAAGGTTCTGCAATCACAATTAAGAGAGGAAAAAAAATAAAAAGAAATAATAATCACAATCGTTTGAACCAAGTCCCTTTTCTATCTTGTAACCCCAAAAGCCACAACTTTTAGTCTCCAAAAATGCTTCTTAAGTTAAAAACATCTGGATAAAGGAGAGTGAAAATATAAGTAGAACTCAAAAATAATTATATAAGAGACAGACTAGATACTACCAAACAAAAATAAAACAAAAAAAGGGGAAAACAAGTGTCCATAAATGTAAAGTTTTTGGTTACTTGCTCCTGCCATAGAAAACAGAATCAGAAGTGGAATAAATTTCAGACTCTCATCTCTTTACCCAAAAGTCAATGGTAAATTGTTGATACTTAAAGACACACATGAAATTAGTGGAGATCAGTACGTTTACACTGGAACATTAACCATTAGCTTGCTCTGTTGTGCTACTGACAACCTCAGGCTTTCACTAACACTATCAGGAATGTTAGCATATGTAAGTATGTAATGTATGTGAGTACTCAAGACCCAGCTAAGCGACAGCAAAGGAAGAATAAAATAAGAGCCTGCCTGAAAGTTGTAAATATCTGAGAGGAAGAGGAATAACTTACCAGGTAGTGTCATGTCACAACAGTGTTCAGAAATGACAAGCGGATTTGACCTAAGCAGTTGGTGTTTTAAAAACTTTAAATCAACAGTAAATATGCTACATATCGCAAAGCTTTTTAAGAGACAAAACTGATTCCAATGCACCAAGCAGTATTAGAGATAGCCCACAGGAAAAGTGCCATTGGTCTCATCCAGTAACGTACACTTCAGCTTAAGGGGAAGACTGAGGACAAAAGGACATTTACTGGAGCATTACACAGGGACTGTAACATAACAGCTTGGAAGCTCAAAACAAAAATTTCTTGTCCCAGACAGTGATTCAACAAGAGAAGTGACCGGAGTTGTTTGACCATACCCAACTATCACAGCCATGTAGCCAACCTATAGCTCAAATACCTGGGAAATATTTTTGCTTTTGTTTTCTGGCATGAATTCTAATTTTGTAAAATGTGAATGTCTTGCTGTCTCGCTGGTTGTGTTTCAACCATTTTGTTATTTTGCTGGATGCAAAGTACTTCAAAAATTCATAAGAAAATTTGCTTCTTTCCCCTGCATTTCTTTTGCTATACATATGTTAAACAACCCTTCAGAGAGAAATCTCAATTGTCAAGATCTCTCCCAGACATGTATCAATCTTTTTAATAGAGTCCACTGGTGGGTTTTGTGTGGGT